CGGTCTGCTGCACCTGCTCTCCAAGCCATCAATGTATTCCTTCTTTTTCTTTCGGCTCTCCTGGGCAGACTGCTTGTTTCGGATCTTCCTCCGAATCTTCTTCAGGATGCGCTCTTCATACTGAGCCAGAGAGGGGGGAAGGAGTGGGGGGAAGAGAGATCAGTACAGGCGGGATCAGCCGGGAATGGTGCACAGCAGGTGGAGAGCTACACACAGGGCAGTGTGGGCCAACGCCACTGTCCCAGCATGCATCACTGTGTTCAGTACCTTGGTCAGAGGCAGCTGGCTGGGCAGACTCACGCCCTCCTTGGCCAGCAGCTTCTTCTCGTCCTCGTTGAGGACCAGCTCCTGGAAGGGCTGCTGGGATTGCTGCTGGGGCTGGGAAGGAGAGGAGTGGGGAGGGAGGGATCGGATTGGGAGAGAGCAAGATGGAAAAAGTGAGGGGAGAGAGGGATGAGAGTAAATACTGTGCGAATCAAGAGTGAGTTGAGTTATGTGCTGGCGGAGAGAGAGAAACACACGAGAATGGGACACTTGTAGCAGGCGCAGCTCCGAAGTCCTGACCCTCCATATCTCTCAGTGCTGCCCTCACCCACGTCTGTGACACCAGAGTGACTCGGCTTCTCCCACCCACAACCTGCACACCCCACTGACTGCCTCACCCCATTCTCATGTCCCGCCCAGAGTAAAATATGATGCAAATTCTGCCTCCAGATCCAATAACAGGGCACCCTCACCGGCTCAGAGCTGCTGGACAGCAGCAGGTCCTTGACGGTCAGTGGGAAACTGGATAACATCTGAATTCTCTGGACGCCCTGGGCTTTCTGGTCCTCACCCAGGTGGGAGCCGTTGGAGGGTCTCTCCACGAAAAACCCTGACTCCCAGCCCCCTGTGGTAACACATTCTGTGGTTAGAGACTGCACACTGTGCCCCCAGCTCAGGGGCTCCTACAGAGTTACTCAGACTGAAAGAGCTTGACCGGCGTGTCTGATGAGTTACAGTGTTGCCAAGGAAATAACAATTAGCAAAACGTTTCCAAAGGTTGCACTCAGGCAAACGAACGGGCTCCAGCGCTGTCTTACCGAGGTCAATGGAGACGTCAGGCTCCTGGGAGTCCAGCGGCAGGGCTGGGGGGGGGTGTTGAGATGTTGGGGCCACAGGCGGGTAGGGGGGCTTGAGGTGGGGGCTGTCTGGGGGTCGGCACGGCGGGGGGCTGTCCAGCTGGTCAGACTGCGGGTCCTCGCTGATCCCGCTATCACTGGCAGCCGGCGACCACAGGGGGGAGCCAGAGACGGAGTCACTGCCGCCGAGCAGAGCACTGAGAAACTCGTCGCTCCCCTCCGCAGGGCTCAGCAACTGCACACAGACACAAAGGCAGGGCGGCAGGGAGCTCTTTAAAGTCTGGGAGGTCCAACAAGGTCCTGGAACTGCCCATAGTCCTCGTGAAGAAGTCACGGTATTCCAGATGACATTTTCTTATGTGTGATAGTTTTTGCAGGAAGTTGTAAAATTAAAGGAAATCAAACCACTGTACTGTCTAGTAAAGAGGGGATGGAAATAAAGAAGTGTGAACAGATGTAGAGGCACAAGGTCAGTGGTAAATGGAAGCTGTAAGGATACAGAGCTGTAAGAGACACAGAGAGATGGGAGACGTTGAGAGAGACTGGACCGTGCACATGGACTGAACAGTAGCGAAGTCACTCACACTGTGCTCTGTAGTTGGCCAGCTTGGGCAGTTGTGTTGCCCAAAGCCCTCATGACGCAAAATCCCATCATTCTGATCGAAGAGCAGGTCCAACAGCTCCATCCCATCATAAGCCTGAGTGAGACGGGTAATACCGGCACACTTAATACATCAAGACTGCAGAGGGACAGAAGGGTCATACAGACACATTGACTGACTGGAC